CTACAGCTGGATATCACACACTTCTTTCTATACTAATGTCAATATGATACTGGAGTTTCCATAGAGATAGTACAACACAGCTTTGAGAGGTATGAGCGTGCTTTTCTACAAAACCCTGTATTTGACAGAAGAGATCCACACTCAGACGTTACTTCAAAACAAAGGCTGCTGTGCAAGACCTTTACCTGAACAAAATAGTCAAAAATTGGTTAAACAAAAAGATTTATCTGAATCAGAAACTGGTTACAAAGGTAATAAGAATACAAATTTGCCCAGACATTCCATGCTAACTTTCAGTATTAACAAAACAATTTCCTTACTCAGTGGCAGGCCAGCCATTAGGACACATGGGCAGAGACAACATTTCCCAAAGTGGGCCCCTCATCCACACTCATCACCCATGTTTTGTTAAGTCTTATTAGCGCCACATTTCTTAATTTATTCATTCAGTCTTGGGGGCTACTTTAATCGTATATTGGTTAAATTGTGTGTTAAACTGAAATAGTGTGGAGAGTATATGGCTTTCAACTCGCAGGTTTCCAGTTATACCCAATTTGTGCAATTCCAAGACTATTCAAGGACCCCAGTATACAGAAATATTAAAAACACAATTTTGAAAAAAGGCACTGAAATCGGCATAATATTATGTCATGACTTAAGTATCATGATATTGTATTGTGGAGCCTCTGATGATTACCACCCCTATCAAGTGGCAAAAGCCAAACAATACAACAGCTACAACAGTCTGTTAAGTTCACAAAATGACATTTCTCTGCTGTAATCCAGTCTTTAAAATTGTGACAAGACAACATTTACAATCTTATGCTATCCAAAATCAAAGACGATAACTAGTCTCATATCACAATATCGATATAATATTGATATATTGCTCAGCCCTGAAACCATGCTCATGTCTGTACAATGAATATAAAACTATATCCAGCAGCCAATTTATTTCATTTCGCATAAGGATATGAAACACTGGCAAACAGCTAGCCTGACTCAGCCCAAAGGTAACAGTATCTGTCTTCAAACACCTATAAGACAACATATTGTCGTTTCACAGGTCTTATGTACCGGACTATTTAATGGCTGGGCTCAGCGTCTTCCTGGAGTCTCAGCTGGTTGCCTGGCAAAGCCATAATGGCGACAAGACTCTGGGAAGTTACTGCCAAAACAGTCTGGCACATAACCACTCATGGTCATTTCTCTCTGTTTCCAGTTTTTGTGTTCATCTAAGTTAACCAGCTGCTAGTGGTAGCTTCATACTGTAGCTTCATATTTACTGAAGTCCATTTCCCAAAATGTCTCTTGAAATACTTTGGGGTGTTTGCCAGGAGCAAAAGTCTATTGAATTCATATCAAGTTATGATGTTGAATTTCAGTACCTTACTGCGTGTGAAATCATTGTGGACCCTGCTGATTGTGTTTTCCCAAAACACAGTGAAATGATGTGTGTCAAATCTGTTTTGCTATTTTGAAAATCACCCTGCAAATCTTCACTACACACCATTTTGAACACCAAGGACCAGTCAACTCCTCTTTCTCCTTCCCTGCAGCTGACAATCAAAAACATGATGGAGCCCATTTTCTATTTCTTGCCTCACTGCAGCTCTGCAACATTCATGAGGGACGGCTGTTTACTGTTTACTGGTTATATCTAGTTTTTATCTTTGATTACGTGTGCTCACGGGAGTGCTGTGCTTCCCAGAGATCTCCCGTCAATCAAACAGTGTATTCTTATCTCTTCGTCCGTGAATTTTCTGTTGATAAAGTCAGAGTTTTTGTTGTTGCTCACTCTGTTCAGCCACGGCTGCTATCGCTGCACATGTCGGAGTGTCGCGTTAATCTGATTAGACCAGATTATTAGTGTGTGTGTATGTGTGTGTGTGTGTGTGTGTGTGTGTGCAAAGGTACCAAGTGACACTGACCTCGAATTGATCTGACCTTTCAGATAATGACGAACGACATGCTTACTGGTGCTAATACGGTGAAGAGCTTGAGAAACATAAAACCTCAGAGGAATATTGGGAAGCTCCAACCATTAAACAACAATTTCAACAAAATAGATTTGAAATGGTTAATTTAAGAAGCAGCAAGGCCTGACTGTTCTCTGGTCTTAGTGAGCGATCCAAATTTGGTGACTGTTTCCTGTGAACTTTCGATGCTCTTTGTTGGCACTGATTGCAGATAGCGCCTGTCTGTGAGGCAATGATTAACCCGCAGGGAAGAAAGAGGGATAATTAGAGATTCCTACTTGAGATTAAAAAGGAAACACTTTTATACTGAGACTGGAAATTAAAGTAAGAGCAGGCAGTTCAGTAACACAGGGCAGTCAGAGCAAGGTTACACAGTTTGAAGTGAAATCCCAGAGCTCACTGGTTCAAATCCAATAAGGGCCAAAAACCTGACCGTGAAATCAACCGAATTTAACTGCACATTGAATAATTTCATTGTTCTGATTATGTGAGACGGGTTGCAGAAATAGTTTTAGAGCAGCAGATGGTGAGAGTTGTGTAGGACGGGATGTACTGAACAGCAGAACGTCAACTACAGCTGACTGTACTTGGCAACAACACTGTGCCACTTAGTTGTGTGTTTGTGTGCGCACAATATCGAACTATTTTATAACTGTATATATTATGCAGACCACCAATACAGGCCTGCCTAAATCTCAATCATTGTCAGACTATAATAATAAGATGTTTACCTTAAATCCTTCAGTCCTATCTTAAAGTGGAAGGAAAGGAAATATCTTAACCCTTTGAACTCTGAAGTAGAAATGCTCCGCCAGTGCCTATGTTGGTATTTTTGCCCACTGTGATGTCATTCCTTGGAGTATCTTCAAATGCTTCATATCCCTAAAATCAGTACAACCAAAACTATAAGGTTATGTATGTCAATAAACCATAATAATTGATAAGTCTTCAAACTGTGTCATTAAAAAAAAAAAAACAATACAAAAATCTGACTTTTTCCCCTCAGATTTCACAAAATAAAAACGCAAAACATATTGATCCAAAAAAACTTTTTGATGTAGAAATACAGACAAAATATTTCTTGACACTCTACAAATTATTTGAACTGTGTATATTATTTAGTTTTAGTCTATTATACATTATTATCTATTATGATTTTCATTTGAAATCGATATATACAGGATTATGCAAAGGATGATCTCTCGCGGCCATTAAAGGGAAATTTCTGGGGAAATTCCACCATATTTGCATGGCACGTGGGGTAAGGTAACGTAAGGTCACAGCATGAGAAGGGGAAGATTAGTACCATAGCTTTCTGCTGCAAAAAGAATGAATGCTTGAGTTATTATATTACAGGAATAAGCAAACAACAATCTCCCATGGCCGTTACAGGGAAATATCGGCATATTCACAGCAAAATACCACGTTTGCACGTCACGTAAGTTAAGGTAACGTAAAGTCATGACATGATGGCGAGGAAGCTGCAAAAATGTGAATGCTCTTACTATTGTGGTTCTTATTTTGGATCTATTTACACAGGATCATTCAAACAACAATATCCCACAGCTGTCCGCGAGATGTTCATTTTCAAAGGGTTGACATCATGAGGCCATTTTGGTCTGTGCTGCATTTCTTCAAGCAGCCTGTTAAGGCTTTAAGTGAGGGTTAATTTGGGTTCATTAGCTGAGGTGAAGTGTTGAATAATCAGACTGCACACACACTGTAAACAACACAGGAATGAAAACCTAGTTTTGCAATAACAACTGATTAGCATAACAAAGTGTTCTTAAATAACATTAGCATGTCATTTTCTCCTGGCGTTATTTAGCTTATTAGATCTCTCACTCATCCAGTTCAGAGACAGTGAAGAGAAAACAGAGTGAAACATCATCCGAGTCACTCACTGTGTTCAGATCCTCACTCTTGTGTGTGTGTGTGTGAGATGATGAATATTTCAGCATCTTCACTGTCAAACGACACCACTTGGGTTTACAGTGAGTGCCCACCGCACGAGGGAAAGTGACTTCATGAATGAACTGAAGGTCTGTTTATTCTCAAGTGTGACCTCTGCATATGTGTGTGTGCGCGTGTGTCTGTGTGTGTAATCCCTGTCTGCTGCTGCTCTAACAATGCCACTGGTTAATCTCCAGATTATGAGCCAATCTCAGCCACCCAACTAAACCCTCCACACACACAAACGCATAGCAAAGCATGATAGGATAGTTTATCCTGGGGGCAATTGGACAGGATGTGATGCCAAAACCAACAAGAATAATGATAGACAGTGTGTGTGTGTGTGTGTGTGTGTGTGTGTGTGTGTGTGTGCATGTGTGTGTACAGGGAGACAAAAACTGAGTGTTACAGCAGAGTGTGTGTGTCAGTGTGCAATGTGTGTGTGACTGAGAGGGAACAAAGACAAGGCTAACACACTCCTCCATTCTTTTTTCCACTAAAACACAAACACACACACACTAACAGACACACAGCGTTGTCCTACAAGACCAAACATCCCTTCTGACACCCAAACACATTCATACAAGATGACACCACACACACACACACACACACACACTGACACACTACAAGATGGCTTTGTTTCACTGTAAAATCACACAAACACACACACACACACACACACACACACACACTTTTTTCTAGCTCAAAAAAGTGAAAAATATAGGTCATGCTGCATCAAACACCTCTTTCAGCCTACTGGTGTGTGTGTGTGTGTGTGTGTGTGTGTGTGTGTGTGTGTGTGTGTGTGTCACAGGAGAGAGAGGAAAGACAGACAGAGAGAATAAACTCACAGCAGTTCACATTCCTTGCATGGCTCACATAGCTTTCCTCATCAGTGTGTGTGTGTGCGTGTGTGTGTGTGTGTGTGTGTGTGTGTGTTCATATGGCTACGAATGTGTGTAATTGTGTGTTCCTGCTGCACCCAGCCCACACTAACTGTATTCATTCTGGAGCCCTAGAATTAGTCAGACCCCGAAAAAACCCAATAATTACTACTTCACCTACATGATGCCCATCCTGTGGCAGTGCAGTGGCAGGAAGACTTTTCCCATCGGCCCCAGGGGTTGTTAGCATGTCCTCCTCTCAGATTAAGTTACATTCTACTGCTTTTTATATTTTCTGTACTTCCTCACGGTGAAACGATAAATGACACACAGACAGGACCCTGCACAGTTCACATCAACAAAGAAAAAAGGGGAGAAAGATCTTATTGGACTATACGTACTAACACACATCAGAATATATGATCACAAACACACACACAGCCTGGGAGACATGTTTTTACACACACCTACACAGGCAACACATTCATACACACAGTGCTGCATTCAGGGCAATGCATTCCAATACACTCATGCAAACATGTTAACCCAGACACAGACAGAAACATACAAGACGATATAAAACACACTGAAAGAGCAGGCACACACACACAAACACACACACATATATATATATATTTATATATATAT